ATGTAGTTTTCTTATAACAGTTATTTCCTAGGTTGTTATTGGTCTATTTAGGGTCTCAGTTTCTTCTTGTTTCACCTTGGGGAGGTTGTATGATGTCAGAAAGGCTTCCATTTCATTTAGGTTTTCAAGTTTGTTTCCATACAGTTGTGCATAGTAGTCTCTGGTAATGTCATGTGTTTCTTTGGGGTCAGTTGTGACTTGATCTTTTGCATTTCTGATTGTGTTTATTTGGTCTTTTTCTTGGTCAGTCTGGCTGTGAGTCCATCAATCTTGTTTGTCCTTTAAAAGAACCAGCTTTTTATTTCACTGATTTTTTTCTATGATATTTTTGTCTTCTGTGTCCTGTATTTGGGCTTTTACTTTGGTGATCTGAATTCTTCTGCTGAAATTAGGGTTTTGGTGGTCTTGCCTTTCCAGCTTTCTTAGGTGATTTGTTAGGCCGTTAACTTACAATGTTTCTGTTTTCTTAATATGTGTTCATAGATATGTGAATTTTCCTCTTAGTACTGATTTCATGGCATCCCAGAGGTTTTGGTAAGATCTTTCTTCATTTGTTTCTAGGAATCTTTTAATTTCTGTTTTGATTTCTGTGTTGAACCAGAGGTTGTTCAGCATCATGCTGTTTAGTTTCCATGTCTTTGTGAGTTTGGGGGGAGTTTTGTTGGCGTTGATATTTATTTTTGTTCCACTGTGGTCTGAGAAGGTGCATGGCAGTATTTCAATCTTATGGAATTCATAATTTTGATTTATGACTGAGGATGTGGTTGATCTTGGAATATGTTCCATGAGGTGATGCATAGAATGTATATTCCATGGTTGTTGGGTGGAGTGTTCTGCAGGTATCTATTAAGTCCATTTGGTCAAGCGTCATATTGAGGTTCTAGATCTCCTTATTTTTTTGCCTTGATGATCTGTCTAGGGTTGTTAGTGAGGTATTTAAGTCCCCAGCTATGAAAGTATTAGAGTCAATATCTTTTTTTAGTTTACTTAGTAGCTGTCTTATAAAAACTGGTGGTCTTGTGTTTTGTGTGTGTGTGTGTGTGTGTGTGTGTGTATTTTTTATTTGTAGCCCCACTCCATCTCCCAGGCCAGAGTACAGTGGCATACTGCTCACGGCCACCCCAGCATCGACCTGCTGGACTTCGGCGATCCTTCTACCATAGCCTTCCAAGTAGCTGGAACTATAGGCACACACTATCACACCTGGCTAATTTTTTATTTTACTGTAGAGACGAGGTCTTGCCAAGTTGCCCAGGCTGTTCTTGAACCTGCGGGCTCAAGCAATCCACACCTGGGCCTCCCAAAGTTCTGGGATTACAGGCTGAGCCATGGAGCCCAGCCAGGTGTATATATATTTAGGGTGGATATTTCTTGTTGATGTATTGAACCTTTTATCGTTATGCAGTATCCTTTCTTATCTTTTAATTTTTGATAGCTTAAATGTTTTGTCTGATATTAAGATCAGGACTTCTGCCCTCTTTTGTGTTCCATTTGCCTGAAATTTGTTTTCCATCCTTTGACTTTGAGTCTGTGAGTGCTCTTTGTCATGAGATGTGTTTTCTGGAGGCAGCATATTGTTGGGTGGTGTTTTTTAATCCAGTTTGCTATTCTGTGACTTTTCAGTGGTGCCTGTAGTCCATTATGTTCAGGCTGATTATTGAGATTGTTATCATGAGTCTCTTATAAATTTCTTTATTGTTGTTGCTGTTTGTTTGTTGGTTGGTTTTCTTTTGATTTTGGGGTTTATCTGTATGTTTGTTTTCAGCTTTGCAGTAACGATGCATGCTGTGTTGATTCTCTGTTTTCCTGCATTCTTGGGAAGAGCATGGTTGTTCTTATTTTTCTTTCTTCTCTGCCTAACACCTTCTTAAGCATCTCTTGTAGAGCTGGTCTGGAGGCAGCATAAACTCTTAGGGATTGAATGTCTGCAAATGATTTTAATTCCACATCACTAATGAAGCTTAGTTTAGCTGGGTAGGAAATTCTTCGCTGGAATTGTTTATCCTTGAGAACTTTGAAGATTTGACTCTAGTCTCTTCTAGCCTGTAGTGTTTCTATAGATAAGTCTGCTGCTATTCTAATTGGTCTTCCCCAGTATGTAGTCTGATCTTTCTCTCTAGCTGCCTTTAGGATTTGTTGTCATATACCTACTTTGTGTACATGAACTACTATGTTTCTTGGAGTTGTTCTTCTCATTTGATGCTTTGCATGAGTTCCCTGAATCTCTTGTGTTTGGATGGTTGCATCTCTGATGAGATGAGGGAAGTTTTCTTGGATAACTTTTTGGAATGTTTGTTCCAAGGTGGTCTCTGTTTCTCTTTCTGCCATAGGAATACCGATCAGGCATAAGTTCAGCCTCTTAATATAATTGTACATCTCTTTGAGACTTTTGTTCTGTCTTTTAAAGCTTCCTGTTATGTTTTTAACAGTTTCAAGCTCTGAGATTCTTTCTTCTCCTTGGTTAATTCTACTTTTCATGCTTGTCAGTTTATTATTTATTTCATTTATTGTATTCTTTATTACCATCATCTCAGTTATGAACTCTTTCATTCTTTCTTCTTGCCTTTCTTCATTTTTATTTATTCTCTCCATCAATACGTTGATATCTGGATTTGTGGTTTGAGGCCAGTCATTCTGGGGGCTTTTCATTGTTTGAGTTCTGAAGTCTGTATTCTCAGATGTTGCCTTCCTAGACATTTGGGGCTACCTGTGTTCTTCCGTTGATTCTTCTTCATTTGTGATGGATTTTCCCTCCTCCTCTTTAATTCCATTGCTCAGTGATGGGGGGATAGCTTTCACTTCGGTTTGCTCAAACCCCTATTCTTCCTTAGGTGGAGCTTCTGGATTTCTTCAGTTTTGAAACTGGGCTGGGAGTGGGGAGCCTCTGCTGTCTTTTTGCACATTTGAAATTTGCTTACAGTGTATTGGGGGAACCATGGTTCAGAAGCTATCTGCAGATCACTGTATCCACTGACTTGGGTATGAGCCCCCTAGAACCCGCTTCCCACCACCTTACAATATGTCCATGTGGTGGGAGTGTATGGATACCCCCCAACTCTGCTGTTAGATCTCCCACCCTGATTGCACATGTCTGTGTTTGATCCAGTGTGGGGAGGTGGGGCATCTTTCTCTCCGGTATCATGCACTTGGAGTATCCTCTCTGGGTTAATGATGGTCAGTCCCAGGTAGGTGCAGGGATCACCCCTTGGTCTCAGGATGTAGGCTGCTCAGTATTAGGTGAGCTAAAACAGGTCTCTCAATATTTAGTTGCTAATCTTTTACTGTGCCTAGCTTACACATTAAACTTTATCTTAGGTATACATATATAGGATAAAACATAGTATATATAGGGTTTGACACTATCTGCTGTTTCAGGCATCCACTGGGGGTCTTGGACCTATCTCTTGCAGATGAAGGAGGATTACTACACAAAAACAAGGTGCCATGAATGAGAACCAGCAGAAACAACAGACAGCAAGGACTGATAACTAAACATCAGATATTAGAATTATCTGACACCAATTATGAGACAACTGTATTTATTGTTTGAAAAAATAAAAAATGAGCTTGAAGATAACCTGCAGAGATCATAGAAGATTTAGAAAAGACCCAGATGAACAATGATCAAAGTGAAAATTCAATGGACAAATTCTGTTGCATTTTGAACACAGCAAAAGAGAAAAATAATAAGCTGAAATATAAATTAGAAGAAATTATTTAGAATGTAGCACACAGAGACAATATGGTAGAACATACAGAAGAAATGAGTACATCCTGTATGATTCCATTTATTTAAATTTCAAAAACTAAATTATTTTATGCAAGATGCATATGTGAGGAGCTTTTGGGGGTGATTATAAGGCTACATTTCTTGACCTGTGTAGTTCATGGATATGTGCTTTATAATTATTTGTACAAATGTACGTAGATTTTTTATGAGTTTTTCTGTGTATTCTATTGCATAGTAAGTAATATAATAATTTATAATTATATGTTGTATAATATGATTATATATTATAAAAACATAATAACTGTTATATTCCTTTTTTTTTTTGAGTTGGAGTCTCACTCTGTCGCCCAGACTGGAGTGCAGTGGCTGCTCCCGGCCATTGCAGCCTCGACCTGCTTGGCTCCAGTGATCCCTCCGCCTCAGCCTTCCAGTACCTGGAACTACAGGTGCACGCTACCACGCCTGGCTAATTTTTGATTTATTGTAGAGATGAGGTCTTGCCAAGTTGCCCAGGCGGGTCTCGAACGCACAGGCTCAGGCAATCCACTAACCTCAGCCTCTCAAAGCACGGGATTACAGGCTGAGCCACCGAGCCCGGCTAACTGTTGTATTTCTAATATAACAATTATTAAAAATTAACTTGGTGATCATTTTATAGATAGGGAAATTAAGACAGGCGTGGCCTTACAATCTTTTGAATTTCAATCTAATTTTTTTTTTATTATTCCTATCAGCCTTTTCTCTGCTATTTATTAAAAACCTATCTTTTGGGCTGGGTGTGGTGGCTCATGCCTGTCATCCCAGCACTTTGGGAGGGACTAGGTTCAAGACCAGCCTGGACAACTTGGCGAGACCTCGTCTCTATAATAAATCAAAGATTAGTCAGGCATGGCGGTGCATGCCTGTAATTCCAGCTACTTGGAAGGCTGAGGCAGAAGGATTGCCTGAGCCCAGCAGGTCGAGGCTGCTGTGTCCGTGAGTGTGCCACTGCACTCCAGCCTGGGCAATAGAGTGAGACTCCAACTCAAAAAAAAAAAAGTAAAAATAAAAACCTATCTTCTTCTTATTATTGTATCTGCATTCATGTAATTTCATCTTGTTGCTCTGCAGTAGACTGCAGTGTATACTTTTCAAACAGCTTTTTTTATAAAATGAATTTGGTAGAATGGGGAAGTTGATTTAGCTTTTCATTTGTGTAGGCTGTGCAATATATATTTCCATATAATTAAGTAGATGTTTTGAAAGCTGTTATCTTTCCTTTTATTTTCAGAAGGTGAAGTCTTTACCTGGGGTCATAATGCTTATAGCCAGCTGGGCAATGGGACAACTAACCATGGTTTAGTGCCCTGTCATATCTCTACTAATTTGTCAAACAAACAAGTCACTGAAGTCGCCTGTGGGTCTTACCACTCTTTGGTGCTAACATCTGACGGAGAGGTGAGGATAGTCAGTGTAAAGCTCATTGATTTTTTTTTTTCATGAAGATTATATAGATTTCCATAGTAGTTTTGGAAATATGATCATCTGATTAAAATAACCACTTTCCTCAAATTCAGCCTTATTTTCGATAACAATTCACAGTCATGTTGTCTATATTATGAAATTTACCTGTATGTAGTAACTAATTCTATAACTGAAAATTTTAAAGGGCAGCATTGTTCCTTCTCCACTGCTATAATGAAGGAGTTACTTGCAATAAGAAAAATCCCCAAATTCTGGAAAATATGAATAAGACAAAGTAGATATTTTTGTATTATATGATATTTGATAGCAATCATTATAGTTTGTGTAAACAAACCAATAACTTAATTTTCTAAAATAATAAATTGTATAAGAATGAATTTTGTAAAATTGTCCTTGCATGTGCTGTGAGAATTTCTGGATGTGAAACTCTTTGAGAGGAGAGACAAGGTGACACATGTACATGTTAGTGTCTATCTGAGATGCTTAATAAATTAATATGCTTCATTTACTGATCTTTTCTCTCAAATAGGTATTTGCCTGGGGTTATAATAACTCTGGGCAGGTAGGATCTGGGTCAACAGTTAACCAGGCGATCCCTCGAAGAGTTACTGGCTGCTTACAGAATAAAGTTGTCATGAACATAGCCTGTGGGCAGATGTGTTCCATGGCGGTAGTGGACACTGGGGAAGTAAGAAAGTTATTTCCTGTCTTGTTTAAAAAATCTGTGTACCATATCAGTGTCATGCCAGCATGGCATGTCTCTCATAACAGATAACTTAATGGCCATGGTGTCTCTTCCTGAGCGTTGAGGTTCTCGTTTTCTTTCAGGTCTATGTCTGGGGTTACAATGGAAATGGGCAGCTTGGACTTGGCAGTAGTGGCAACCAGCCAACTCCCTGTAGAGTGGCAGCTTTGCAAGGCATCCATGTTCAGAAGGTATGTCTACTGTCAGTTTGTATGCACGTATTTTTAAGTCTTCATTGGCAAAGATACCAGTGCATTAAAAACATTTTTTTGGCAGGATGAAAAGTTTAGCTGCTTAGATGTCCTCATTGAAGTAAAAGTTAAATCTCTTTTGCCCTGAATTAGGTTGTAGCTGTTTAGAAAATTTCTGTTACTGGAGCACTCTCCAACACAACTTTTGAAATGTAAATCGTTAGAACCTTTCCCACAGAAGCTTTGGCAGTGTTTATTAAGAGTCTTACAAATCTTCATACACTTTGACCTATAATTCTACTCCTAGGGAACTAGCCTAAGGAACCAAAGAGAAACAGAATTGGCTGAGAAGATACAGGGAAAACAAAACAAAAACCTTTAATAAAAAACAAGTGTAGCATAATTTACTAATCAAATAATAAATTAGTGATTGGATAAATTATGCCAAGTTTTTATTATGGAAATGATATTTACAAAAAGTTTTTAATGATATAGGAAAGTGCTATGTGTCATGATAAATAAAAAGAAACAAGAAGAAAACTGCTTATAAGACACGGTCATTTAAAAAAAAGCTAAAGGTCTTATCTCTATGTCTATATGTAAATGGAGAAACCTTCTGATCCTGACCTGAAGAGTACTTTCATATTTATACTTTTCCATATTTTTCACATTGCACATGTTTTACTTTTATAATCAGAAAAAAGAAAATGATTATTTAAAAGTAAAATTGTTTACTTCTTACATTCCCCTCATGGTTTCTGTGAGCATCAAAGCTGGACTGAACTGGGGCTGAGCCTGCTAAGGGACTCATGGCAACCGTACTGCAGTTCTGACCACACAAATTCTAGAAGGATATTGCTTAACTTAATGCTTGCCTCTGGGGATAGGCTGCCTCTTCCATTTTTAATTTTTGATTCTTAACCTACTTTGTGAAAGTAGTGAGATATTTCCTTCTATTTGCAGGCCTCAGTGGATGATTTTCTTTCCCTTCTAGGTTGCCTGTGGCTATGCACACACATTGGTACTAACAGATGAAGGCCAAGTATATGCATGGGGTGCCAATTCCTATGGGCAGTTGGGCACTGGCAATAAAAGCAACCAGTCCTATCCTACCCCTGTCATTGTGGAAAAGGACAGGTAATGTGTGCATTTTCAAAATACCCCCAATGGTCTTTGGTGATAAAACAGGGCTTAGACATACTGAAAATGATAGGGAATGAACTGCGTTAGAGTATGTTTTAGCAAGAGTATTCATTCCTTTTTAGAAGTTTGCTTTTGAATTGTTGGGGATGTTGATTGTGTTGAATGTTTTCACTTACCCTTATTTCATCTGTACCTCCAACAGCTACTCAGTGCACACTACAATGACTAAACTTCCAGTAGCTACTCTTCATTATTCTTCCTCACAAATCATCCTTTCCCCCGTCCTCATTTTCCTGTTTTACATTCTTAAGGAGAAGTTGATAACGCTGGAGTTTGATCTTCCCTGGTTTAGGAAAATGAAGGTAGCTTGGATGCGGTTATAAATTCAGTCACTCAGCTACATAGAAAATTTGCCAGTTTAAGAGGATCGGCTTACTTCATTACTTTAATTCCTAAGTCATCGCTATAAGAAAGAGCAAAATGGTTAGAAAATTAAGACTTAGTTTTGTGCACTTGTTTGCAAGGTAGTGTTATGTAATTAGCACATCCAGAACTAGTTTCCAAATTATCCTAATATTTTTGAAAACCTTTTGAATTTTTCAAGCATGGTCAGATCACTGCCCTTTCACTGTTCTTTTCTTTACACAGGGAGCAAAACCAGTTCATTATCTTTTCTTTTAAACCAGTTTGGTAATCATTGTTGAAACTAATGCTGCTGTTTTTATTGTACATATTTTATTGCATTTGATTTTGAAATACATATACAGACAAGTAGATTAGCTTGTAAGACCCTTGACCACTTAAGAATTGGGGAGAAAGGATTATTAGGGAGGCAGGAAGTGGTACAGATAAATGCCTGCAGCTGTGCATTTGCATCTCTCATAAAGGTAGCTCAGAGCTTCTCTGAGAAGAGAAGGCACTGTCTCGAGTCTTTGGATACTTACAGAAATGCCTCAGGCTAGCAAATCCAGTTGGTAGGGACACTTAGTATTCAGACTTCATGACAAAGTGTTAAAAGATCAAATGAAGGTAGCATGGAAATGAAAACAACAGATCTGTATGGCCCATTATTTTTTATGTTGCTTCCACACTTAGCAAAAACTTTAACTCCAGCCGCCAGTCATTGCTCACAGGTGACTTGCTAGTCCCTGATCCAGAACTGCCCGGGTCCTCTGACTCTAGTTTAACCAAGCCAGGTGGACTGTGGGGCATCGAGGTGGGAGAAAGGAAAAGCAGCAGAGATGCAATGAACGGAAGTTACGTGAGTGCCAAGTTACTTAGCTGGACCTTGCAAGTTACCAACTGCTTTTCCATCCTAACCATAGTTATTTTTGAATTATAAATATAAAGAAAGAGGAAACAGCTGTGCACTAACTTTTGTCCACATAAACATGATTTTGGCTGTAAAAGTCATGGATGAATGTTTTCAGCAGGTATGCCTGATTTTCTTAGTCTTCCATATGTGAATTGCAGGTGATAATTTCTGAGCTTGCACAATTTTAGTCAGGCACTTGATCACAGGCCTGCTGCAAGGGAGGGATTCATAGGTCTGTGCTAGGACTTGTCCTGCATGTCTCTACTCTCTCCACCCTTTCCAGTGACTGAAGCTTCGAGGATATGTCATAACTTACCTGTCAGGAACTCTGGAGCCTCACTTCTGACTCTTGGGGCCCATTTCCAGAAAGCTTGACTAATTAGGAATAGGATTGAATTAAGGGGTAGGATGGGTCTTCAGTTCTTGGTTACCTGTTCATTGAAGTGGAAAGAAAAAATCTGTCTACGTTATATTCTTTTTTCTTTTTTGAGTTGGAGTCTCACTCTGTCACCCAGACTGGAGTGCAGTGGCTGCTCCCGGCCACCACAGCCTCGACCTGCTGGGCTCCGGCGATCCTTCCGCCTCAGCCTTCCCAGTAGCCGGAATTACAGGCACGCGCTACCACGCCCAGCTGATTTTTTGATTTATTGTAGAGATGAGGTCTCGCTGCCCAGGCGGGTCTCGATCCCGCGGGTCTCGATCCCGCGGGCTCAGGCAATCCACTCACCTCAGCCTCCCAAAGGCGTGGGATTACAGGCTGAGCCACTGAGCCTGGCTTACGTTAAGTTCTTTGCAGGAACAACAACCCAAGGGAAACCTTTTAAGATCTTTCCCAGAGGTCTATTTACGATGTAGCATACTAATATTTGTCAGCAGTGTATGTTTATATAAAAGTACTTTTAACAATTAAAATGATTTTCTTCTCTCTAACCCGGTGATTCCCAATCTTTCCAAAGTTTCAATACTTTGGTATTTGATTGATTAGCCTTTGTTCTTAAAGTTCCCAAAAAGCATATTTTAAGTTAAATTGGCGTAAAACTCACCTTGTCTTCACTTTTTGAGAACGCTGTGATTTCTTGAGGAAATCAGTAATACTTGGGGCTGTTACAAAACCAGGATTGGAAATCACTGCTCTGGATCTTTTGATCATTGCTGCTTCTTCTCCGTTATTCTTTTGTTTCCTCACAAATTACCATTTGACCCTCTTCGTGGTTTTCTGTTTTATATTCTTTTTCACTCTCTGCGTTTTCATTTCTAGTGCTTCATAGCCATTAAACTCTGCGGTTGTTGTGGATCATTCCCTTAAGGTGACACAAAACCTGTTTATCAAGAGCATACAGTAATGTTTTTCCCATTAAGACTGGTTACAAAATAAAGTGTGAAATATGCCAGACACCCTGACAGTAAAGGTAGGCTCAGTTTATAGTCATCGCATGTAAGACTGGGAAATCTGAGTGTCAGCATTTGCTTCTTGGTATGAATCTGATTTAAAAACTGACGACCTCAGGCAAAGGCAAGGTTCCTTGGCAGTTGCTTGGGTCCCAAGCCTAGACCTGAAGGTTCCTGCTAAACTTTCTCCACTCTCATTCCTGTAGCAGCTGCTGTGGTCTGCCAAGCATGCACCCTACCCCTGACTTCCTGTGTAGAGCCAGGTATCCCAGGTAACCGTCATGAGGTCATACCTGGGGGTGACCAGTGTCAGTGTCACCTTTCCTACCCCACTCCTTGGCCCTGTCTGTCCCAGCCCTTTTCCAGGAAGCAGTGTCCCTAAGCTGTCCCCTTTTCATGGAGAGTGATGACAAACTTTCAGAAGGGAACGTAGGAACTAAATTATTTTGATTTTCCTATGTTGGATAGTTTCCGATGTTGGTTAGTAAAGGACACTATTGTATTTCAGTGGGTGACATTTTCTTATCGCATTATCCTAAAGTGTACAGAAATTATTCAAAAAATTTAAAAGTCCTGGCCTAGTAGGGCACTTTGGAAGTGCTGAAATCTGAAGCAAGAGCAGTTCATTCGTGTTTACCTAAATGCTATTGGTTGGGATGTTCTAACCTCCCCTCCCCCCAGAGAATACCAGATAGCCTTAAAACTGAGGTGGTTCAAACACAAAAGGCCTTGTTTTTTTTTTTATTAACTGCTTAGCCGTCTGTATGTTAAGCCCCCACGCCTGTCATCTGACCAGCGTTGCTGCCACTTCTTCCCTCAGCCCTACCAGGCTGGTGTTTCCTTAGACTCCTATTCTGATGCCATCTTTGACTCCTCTCCTTCCTCTGCATCAATATCCAGACCACCCCGATTTCTCCTGGTGACCTCGTTTGGATGGGAGAGCACAACCCCTGTCAGCCTCCCCAGCTGAACTTCCAGGCTGTTCTTTCTCCCTTGAGGTCTGTTTCGCACACTGTCTAGATCACTCCTGAGAATACCCTGTTCATCACATCACGGACTTGTTTACAGAGCTGATTCCTACTGGCCTATCAGGTCAGAATAAATCTGAACTCTTAGGCTTTGGATTTAAGCCAGCATCACTGTTCCTAGCAAACCTCACTACTTTCTGCTCCCCAAAGTTGCCTCCATTCCAGTGTGCAGCCTTGTCATGTCCATTCTCTGTCTGTGTGTTTGCTCATGCACACCTCTCCACCTGGGAGGGTCTTACTTCATTTCTTTGACAAACTCAAAGCCTATATGGCCCAGTAAACTCCCTTTTACTTTAAATATTCCCTGCAAAGCCCACAGGCATTTTCCCTTACCCACCGGAGCACTTGTAGTCAGGACCATACTCTGATGTTTTTTGGGAGTTGTTTTCAGTGTCACAGATCTGTGACTTCTCTCTCCAGCAAAGTCATGAGGGCCTCAGCGCAAGCCCAGCTGTTACACATGTTTAATCACAGAAAGAAGCCTTCTTCAGCTCAGCTCTGCTGGGTGCCTTACTTCACTTATTCTAAACCACAAACCCGTGAGATGATTATTCTGCTCTCCCCACCTTTTTGTTGTTTAAAAAGATGATAAAGCTGATTCTAAGAATTTAACATAATGTGGCTTCTACGAACTGCTCTATGATCCAGAGCCCATGTCCTGCCTACTGCACCAGGCCACCTAGACAGATCGTGTTGCTGTCTTCATGTTCGGGTATAATATCTGAGACTTACCAGTAAAATAGATGGTAACAGTAGGTGTACTTTTCTTTGAATAAATGTATTTATCCTATTTCATTCTCCCATTTTCTTTATTTCTTGAGAAATTCTCACTGTGTTGTTCAGGCCGATCTTGAACTCCTGGACTCAGGCTATCCTCCCACCAGCTTCCCAAAGTACTGGGATTACAGGCATGAGCCACTGCACCAAGCCAGGAAGAATGTGCTTATTGAAAAGCCAAACAGTATTGACCATTTTCCCCACCTGGCAAGGTTCTTTTTGTCCAGCACTAAGTTAGAGATTGGGGCCAGTTGGCTGACCTAACCGTGCAATTGTCAGGAAAGGACTCTTCTAGGGAAGGCCTTACTAATCTGAACTGATTAGTAGAAGCATGTAGTCTCGACCTAAGGGAGGCTTTGCCACTTAGAATGTGTGGTAGTAGTAATATGATGAAACCACTATTGTTATACTACCATTTGTACACATTGTGTTGGGTGCTGAACACCTTATTTAATGCTCACACCAGCCCTGCAGTGTGATGACAGTGAGGCTCCAGGAGGTCAAAGGGCATTCCCACAGTCACACAGCCTAGTGGTAGAGTGGGATTCAAACCTAGGTCTTTTGGACTCTAAAGCCTGGGCTGTCCACAGAGGCACATCATAGCCTCTATTCCTGTAGTACTTGTGGGAGGTTCTCAAGAACTGAGAGTGCTTCTCTGATAAATCAATTACTTGAGCCGCATGTGAAAATAATATGTGTCAGCCTTCTGAGGGGGACTGGCACAACACTCCAGGTTGTATGATGACCACCCTCCCTCCTTGATTGGGAAAAATCTAATTAAAGAAGGCAGTGGAGGAATATCCTCACCCTTCAACTGCTAGCCCTTGGTCAGTGGGGTCTTACACAGCCCTCATTTGCTCTGTGTTGAGTCTTCCTCAATTAGTAAAATGACCTACAAATTAATTTAGCAAGACAATGTGTTGTGGGCTTGGAGAGAATTAAGCCTATGACTCAGCCTGCCAGGAACTTGTCATCTAGTTGAACAGGTGATACACGTATACACGTAGAAAGATAACAGGGCCAGGCTGGGGTGGTGTGGACAGGAAGTGCTGCAAGAGGTCAGGTGAACAGGAGGCTTCTTAACCTTGGAGCTGCTTGGACTGGTCCTTACAAGATGGGCAAGGTTTGTAAGGCAGAGAGAAAGAATGAACGTTCTTGAGCAAGGACTTTAACTATGAATAGACATTGGGGATAGTGAGTCATCTGTTTGTTGGGACACAGGGTGTGTGGGCAAAAGTGACTTGAGAGATAGCTGGATGGAGACCTTATGTCTTGTGTCCAGGTTTTATCTTATGGGAAGCCACTGCAGGTGTGAAATTTCTGAGGCAAACATTGTTTCAGGAGGATTCTACCTGTCAGCATTGGGTGAGTTAGAGCAGGGGAGAGAAAGTCCAAGGCAAGGGAGGCCTGGAAGGCTGCTGTAGGGTCCAGATCCGGGTGTGCCTGACCCACAGTGGCGGCTTAGGAGAGACATTACAGAGAAAGAATCTATGTTGTTTGCTAATTGGATATTCTGAAGAAAATGGTAAGTGAAGAGGGAGAAGTCAAAGGTAACTCTGAAGTTCTGAGCTGTGACTGTGAACACCGGTACTGTTGCCTGCTTTGGCAAAATCAAGAAAGGACCACCCTTGGGGTAAAAGAAAGCGTTTACTGTCTTCCTTTGATCTGTATGGTGGCTTATTCTTATAGAAAACAGTTATTTCCAGATCAACAAAACAGAACTTTCCATTAGGAAGTATTCAGAGAACTACCTACTGTCAATCATGAATTTACCACAGTAGAGTCTGTCATAAGGGCATCCTAGAAAACAGCTCTCTTGGATCTCAGGCGCTGCAGTTCCATGTAGCAAATGACCTTCTAGGATTTAGTAAATACTGAATTTACGCTTTTCAGTGTGGGTTGGGATGTCCCATAGTATCCTAAATTAGGTGACATTTGGATTAAAATATTTATTGCCCCTAGGCCCAGATGGTCCAGATTTTTATTATTTTCTTCAGTGAAGTAATGTTTTAAGAAAAAAATATTAAATCACCTTTTTGGGGCAGGGTTGAGGGTGACTCTATGCTCTTGGATTGTACTTGAATTTCAAAATAGGATGGTGCATATCTTTATAGGCCTACAGGCTAGAAATGGTAACAGACATCTTTAGGAGGTATCAGTGCCATGAAGTATGGCTTAAATGTAAATAGTGGTTTGGAGCCTGAAAACTTAGGAGATGGGGTGTGTGAGTCTTGTGCTAGATTTTTTTCTCCTACTGGGCCTGTCCCCTTCTGTAAGTCATGAGGTCATGATGCCCCAAATCAGTTAAATGTATGGGAAGGAGAACGCTGCTCGTTTCTGCTCCTATTTCCTGTGTTTATGTGGTGTGTGTTTGTGAATTTAGGGTTATAGAGATCGCAGCCTGTCACTCTGCCCACACATCTGCCGCCAAGACCCAGGGTGGGCACGTGTACATGTGGGGCCAGTGCCGGGGCCAGTCGGTGATCCTCCCTCACCTCACTCACTTCTCCTGCACGGACGACGTGTTCGCCTGCTTTGCCACCCCTGCTGTCTCGTGGCGCCTCCTCTCTGTGGGTGAGCTGGTCACTGTCCATTTGAGGGATGACAAAACTAGGACGAGATCTCAGTGCTTTTATTTTGGTTGTGAGGACTTTGTTAAGTGCACTATCAATTTATTTCCCTCTAGTGGGCTTCTGGGAAGGGGCAATAATTTGATTGGTTATTTTTCTTAAAAGTATCAGAAACCAACAACAATACTAAATTGAAAGTAATTTTGACGGTTTTGGGAGTTTTTTTGTTTTTGAGATAGGGTCTACCCTGTTGCCCAGGCTGGAGTGCAGTGGCATGACCATAGCTTACTGTAACCTTTAACTTCGGGACTCAAGCCATCTTCCCACTTCAGTCTCCTGAGTAGCTAGAGCAACAGGTATGCACCACCACATCTGGCTAACTTTTTTTGTGGGGGAGGGGGTAGAGATGGGGTCTTGCTATGTTGCCCAGGTTGGACTTGAACTCCTGGCCTCAAGTGATCCTTCTACCTTGACCTTCTAAGTACTAAGATTCCAGGGATGAGCCACTGCACCAAGGCCATTATTTGACTGCTTTTTAATTTTACTGAGTATATTTTACTAGTATATTTACTCAAGCACTCTAAAATTTTATTCAAAATTAGTGAGACAGTTTGGGATTTTTGGTTGTTTTGCCAGATCTATAAACAGATGTGTATGAGGTTCTTATCCTGAATGATGCAAATCTGTTTTTAGGGAGAAAAAGCAGTGTTCAGTTGGTCAGTTATTTCAGGGAATTGGTATTTTCATGAGTGTCAGTAGAGCAGTGCTCAATTCCTGGCCTGCAGTCCCTTTATGTCTGTGGCTAACTCTGAAGCACGTGTGTTACTCTCCTAGAACCCGATGACCACCTCACTGTGGCTGAGTCACTGAAGAGGGAATTTGATAATCCAGACACTGCCGACCTGAAATTTCTGGTTGATGGAAAGTACATTTATGCACATAAAGTCCTTCTCAAGATTAGGTAAGTAATCATTTATTTTGAGAATTGAGATAAATCTGTTCATTCAACAATGATATTCTAAGTGTCTAAGGAACCATGTTTGGCACTTCATTAGTAATGAAAAAACATAAGGCTGTTTTGCCCTTACAAGCATACAGTGCATCCAGGGAAAACAACATGTGAGAAACAGAAAGTCACACAGGTTGTGTGCACCAAGGACTAGGTTGTGGTTCAGGGAATTGGTACTACAGGCTTTGAAAAGTGGTCTGTCCACCTTGGCGGCAGGGAGCAGCCAGCTAACACTTGGCAAGTGTGTTCTGTGCCATAAACATCGTGCTGAGTACTTGGTGTTAACTTCCCTGGCTGAGAACTGAGCTCAGCTCATAATAATCACTCTCCTTAATCGCATTTGGGATACTGAGCTTTTAGATGCTTTAAAAAAGAGGCGATCCAACCTTTTTCAGACAAGCAGGATCAGTGGTGGAGCTAACACAAAGATTTTAAAAATCAAACGTGTGGATATTTATTTTATGAGCCGTGAGCCGCATTCATGTCAGGTGTGTGGTTTGATGAGTGCTGATACATGTATATGCCTGTGAAACCACCGCCCCACATTGAGATGCAGAGCATTCCCATCAGCCCTCAAAGACCTCACATGCCCTGACCCTGGCCAACCACTGATCTTTCTGCCAGTGTAGAGTACCATTTTCTAGAAGTTTATATAAATGAGATGACACAGGATTTATTTATTTATTTTTGCCTGGCTTCTTTCTCTTTGCGTGACGATTTTGAAATCATGTTGTTGTGTAATAGACATTCCAATCCTACTTCAGTGAGTCACAAGCTCAATGTGGCATTTTCTTCTCAAGTCCTCCTGTGGTAAGGTCAATCTGTGTGACATTTGCTCACTCTCACTGTAGCACATAAACCTTCATCAAGGAAGCGGGGGTGGATTAGTTTGCTGTAAAAAGTACTACAAACTGGGTGGCTTAAACAACAGAAGGTTATTCTCTCACAGTTCTGGAGGCCAGATGTCCAAGATCAAGATATCAGCAGAATAGGTTTCCTCTGAATCTGTCAAGGGGATCTGTTCCTTGCCTTTCTACTAGCTTCTGGTGGTTTGCTGACAATCTTGGCATGTGGCGACCACCTCCTCTCATTATATGGTGTTCTCCGTGCATGTGTGTGTATGTGTGTGCGTGTCCAAATTTCCCCTTGTTATAAGGACACCAGTCACATTGGATTAGGGCTCATCCTAATGACCTCATCTTAATTTGGTCACCTTTGCAGAGACCGTGTCTCCCAAGAAGTTCACATTTTCAGACACTGGAGGTTATGACTTCAATATTTGAATTTTTTAGAGGGCATGATTCACTCCATAATGGAATAAACAAGAATAGCTCGATTTTATAAAAATAAACTGATTTCTCTAAATGTTGATCAGTAGATGTGGTATGAGAGAGAAGCCAAGGAGCCTGACACTGTCCTCACCAGCATGGCATAGGGGCAGCTGTCCAGGCCACCCACAGCCGTAGGTTTGCTTGTACAGCTTTGTTGAATTTGGTGATTGATTGAAAACTTCAGGCCAGCAAAGAAAGTGAGGAGACAAGCCTAGGCTGGTATGTACCTTTGAAGGAAGGATGCGCCCCTCAGGAGGCCATCTGCTCTTGCCCGGAAGCAAGGACCTGACATGCTTCTTTCTTCCTTCAGATGCGAGCATTTTCGTTCTTCACTGGAAGACCATGAGGATGATATTGTAGAAATGAGTGAATTTTCATATCCTGTGTACCGGGCCTTCCTGGAATACCTGTACACAGACAGCATCAGCCTTTCTCCTGAGGAGGCAGTAGGTAATTGCCAGAGACTTTCCTGAGGCATTGGCAAAATGTGGAGTCACTGACGAGTCCTTGGTGTTAACTCTCCTGCCTGGGAACTGAGCTCAGCTCATAAGAATCCCTCTCACATGTTACAACCTAAAAGAAAGTCCCTGTGAGGGTAATTACAGAGGCAGTTCTTTTGCGTGTGTGTGCTGGACTTAAACTCTTTCCCTTTGCTACTGTTTCCTAAGAGGTTGAGTGGAGAGAGATGAAGTATCCAGCCATCCCCACTGTGGAGTGTTAGAGGCCGCAGCACGGAGAACAGGCTAGAGACTGAGGAGCACATGGCAGATCCCCAGGGCCTCTGAAAGTAGAGGGTCCTGGGAGCTCCACTTATTTCAGACCGTGGACCTGAGTTGATCAAGGCTGTGCCTGGCTGCATAGGAAGCTGGGGAAAGTAGGCGTTTTGAGATGGCCATGCTTGATTGAAAATTCTGTGTTTGTAAGAATGGATTTGTGTGGGGGGGGGGAAGAGGCAGCTTGCAGCTTCAGCCACAAGAGTGATGTGCCTTGTTTTTATTTTTATTTTATTTTATTTTATTTTTTGAGTTGGAGTCTCATTCTGTCACCCAGACAGGAATGCAGTGGCCACTCCCGGCCACCGCAGCCTTGCCTGCTGGGCTCCAGCGATCCTTCCGCCTCAGCCTTCCGAGTAGCCGGAATTACAGGCATGCGCTACCACGCCCGGCTGATCTTTTGATTTATTGTAGAGATGAGGTCTCGCTGCCCAGGCGGGTCTCGAACCCGTGGGCTCAGGCAATCCACTCACCTCAGCCTCCCAAAGGCACGGGATTACAGGTTGAGCCACCGAGCCCGGCTGATGTGCCTTGTTTTTAAAAGGTCAGTTATTATAATGGTTCAGGTGTGAGATGATGGTATCCTGGGTTGGGGTGCTGTTGCAGTGGAGGTGTTGAAAAGAGAGCAGATGCTGGGTGTATTTTAAAGACGGAGCTGGTGGGACTTGCTGATGAATGGGACGTGAGGTGTGCAGAGAGAGAGAAGGATGACTGCACTGAGGCATTTGGCCTGAGCAGCTGAGTTAATGGAAATACCATTCACTAAGGTGAGGAGAATGGAGAGCAACACGTTTTGTGCCTGGCTTTGAAAAGTCAAAGGAGTTTGAGCTGCCTGTTAGATGTTCAAGCAGCAGTTTTTTTAATAGACCTGCCCCTAACATTTGCAGGGCTCTGGGCAGGAGTCCAAATGGAGGCCTGTGCACCATATGTCTAAATATTTAAAGTTATGTGTCAAGGTAACAAACTTCAGATAGATATACTGAATACTCTCACCTTGAAAAATATAGTTGCATTAAAAACTGAAAGGCCAGGTTTGTGTTTTAGTTGGAGTTTAGAGTTGGAGCACACCTTGAAGTTCTGAACCAGTGGCACAGGAAGGATAGACCCCTGGCCTTCAGGCTGTGGCTACATCCTGCATCCTAAGGGGGGTGCGGGCTCCCCAGCCTGCATGGCCACACTCCATCCACCCGCAACCTAGGCCATCCTTAGGGGTCAGGTGTGGTGTGTGGGGGGGGGGGGGGGAGATACCCACACAGGTGACGTCAGGGCCAGTTAGGTAGGGAATCCCAGGCTCCCAGGAATCCCACATGCAGTCTAGAAGTGGATGCAAGGCTCCTTGACTCCCCTGTGCTGATGGTGTGCCTGGGGGAGGTGCTGAGCTAGACCCAGGGCAGGGGCTTCTCTCAGGGCAATGCTGCTTATGTACAAGTCTGAAGCACAGCAGCATTTGGGGCTGTCGATGCGATTTTGGGTGAATTGGAACTGACCTAAAACAATGAAGCCATTCACAGCTCTCTAGATTTCACTGTGCTCCAACAGGCCATAACTCTTTTTTCCACAGCTTTGATAATATTTGTTATAATGAAAGCATGTTTTTAACCAGATTCTACTACATGTACACAATTTATTAGCAGGCAGACACAAAAGCAATATGGTAAAGATTGATGAAATTGCAGCTCCCTGTCCTTTAGGCTCTCTATTAAGTATCTTGTATGACAGGTTAGCTTGAGATGGGTGTGACGTATTCTAGTAGCTGGATTCAGCTATCCTGGGACTTTGTGTAGCCCAAGTGCAGGAACAGCTGCCAAGGGTGTAGGACTAATGAGCTCACGCTGTGGGGTCCCCAGTCATGCAGGGACAGAGGACTGACTCAGTATTTCTAGCCAAGCCATGTATCTTTGACACCATTCCTTTGCCAATGACACTAATTCTGACATTCCTTTTTTTTTTTTTTTTGAATTGGAATCTCACTCTGTTGCCCAGGCTAGAGTGCAATGGCACACTCACGGCCACCCCAGCATCGACCTGCTGGGCTCTGGCGATTCTTCCACCTCAGCCTTCCAAGTAACCAGAACTACAGGCACACACTACCAAGCCTGATTAATTTTTGATTTATTGTAGAGACAAGGTCTTGCCAAGTTGCCGGGGCTGGTCTTGAACTCATGGGCTCAGGCAATCCACTCGCCTAGGCCTCCCAGAGTGCTGGGATTACAGACTGAGCCAGAGAGCCAGAGCCTGGCCTAATTCTGACATTCTTTATGCTAATTCTAAGTCATCTAATGAAGATAGCAATATCTAAAAGCAGTTAGGAGCTTTCAAATGCTTGTGGTCCATCCTGATTAGAGGACTTTATATGGTCCCACAGGGTAGGTTAAAATTAACTCACTATGTCTGTCACTCAGTCTGCATTGAGTACTGGAAAATAGATGGCAAGTAACCTAACAGGAAGCATCTGAATACATGGATGGTATTTAAAACAGGGGGCTTGAAGCTCACTTAGGAAAAGATGTGAAATACGTGTCTGAGGATCAAACCTTGGGGCACACAACATTTGGAAGTCTAGAAGCATGTCCAGCCAAGAGAACTGAGAAGAATGAGGCAAGCAAGCAAGAAAGTGTTGTGAGGAGGAGGACAGCCACCACAGCAGCTTCTGTGTAAATGTTGAGTCAGGGGAACCCAGAGAACAGACCCTGGATTTAGCATTGTGGAAGCCATTTGGAGACAACCACAGGTGTGACTTCAGGGAGGGGTATAGGGTTCAGCTTGGAAAGACTTGAGGTTGGAATGGGAAGTAAGAAGATGAAGACAGCCGATACAAAAGGCTCTCCTAGGAGTTTTGCTATAGAGAGGGCAGAGAAATGGGAGAGGGTAGTAGGAAGCAGACACTCATCCATAAAAGGTTTGTCTCTTCTGCGTGATGGGCTAGTGCCTGTGTGTGTGTTTGTGTGTCTGTGAGAGAGAGAGAGAGAAAGAGAGAGAGAGAGGGCATGTGTGTGCTGATAAGAAGATATTTAGAATGCAGGGGAGGAGTGAGCACACTCCTTTTTCTTTTTTCCTAGGAAAAAATATTAAAGCCATCTTGACTGTGCTCCTGTTTCAACGGCTTGTTATTTGTGTAGTGTATTTGCTCGGTTTGGCTACAGCCTTAGGTAGAACCACACACTGAAAGTATGCGTAAGTGTAAGTGTATTTACACAGTGCTTCACTGAGGATTATATTCAAAACAATGTCAAAATCATCTCTGAATGGCTGAGTGAGTTTAAATCAGGATGTTTGAAATCACTCTCCCTAAAAAACACCTCTTTTCATCAGGATTGCTAGACTTGGCAACATTTTATAGAGAAAATCGCTTGAAGAAGCTCTGCCAGCAAACTATCAAGCAGGGAATCTGCGAGGAGAACGCAATCGCTCTGCTCTCCGCTGCTGTGAAATACGACGCCCAGGTAAGAACAGCATTCTTCTGGCCGGCCTTCTGGTGTCTGCCTCATACCTTAATCAAAATAAACTCTAGGTAGGCTAAAGATTTAATGTGGAAAAAAAGTAAAGTAACAAAAGTACTGACTGAATGAAAAATAAGTATTTATATAATGTTGGGGTAGACATCGAAGACCAAAACCATGAGGAAAGGACTGATAGGCCTGATTTCAAAACATAAACTTTTATACAACAAAGAATACCAGAGAGAAAATTAGAAAGTAGTGATACATTGGGAAAAATACTGGCGACATAGAATGAAGCAAGTTTACCCTAGTAAAAAACAAAAAGAATACATGAGCAATTTGGTTGGAAAAAATGAACCAAAGAACAAATGACTTTATGAACAGATGAAAAACATAAATGAAAACAAGGTATAATTTTTCACCTGTCAACTGGGAACATATTTGCAGAAGTAATATATAGGCTTAGAATAATGGCGTTCTCCTAAACTGCTCCTGAGGGTACAAATTGGTGCATTAATTTTGGAGGGACAACTTGGTATAATATGTATAAAAAGCCTTAAAGATGTAATTCTTTAAGGAATTCACACATAGGATTTATCTTAAGGAAGTAATCATGGATTTGGACAAAGATTGCACTTCAGAAGTATTTACTGCAGCAGTGAATAATTTTGAAAAATTAGGAAAAGGTCAGTGTAAATAGTAGAGGATTGTTTAAGAACGTTAATACTGGCTGGGCTTGGTGGCTCACACCTATAATCCCAGCATTTTGGGAGGCTGAGGTGAGAGGATTGCCTGAGCCCACGGGTTTGAGACCAGCTGGGCAACTTGACGAGACCTAGTTTCTACAATAAATCAAAAAATTAGCCGGGCTTGGTGACATGTGTCTATAGTTCCAGCTATTTGGAAGGCTGAGGTGGAAGGATCACCAGAGCCCAGCGGGTTGAGGCTGCGGTGGCTGCGAGCATGCCACTGTACTCCAGCTTGGGGGACAGAGTGAGATTCCAACTCACAATAAATAAATAAATAAATAAGAATGTTAATACCATGAAATTATGCACCTATTCAAGATAGGGTTCTTTTTTTTAATGTATCAGTAGCTGAATAAAAAATATTGAAATTCGATATTTATATAGAAAAAACACTGAAGAATATGGCCATTGGTTATCACTGACTGATAGGATGGTGGGTGATTTTAATTTAATTTAATTTATTTATTTTGAGTCAGAGTGTCACTCTTGCCTAGGCTGGAGTGCAGTGGCACTCTCACAGCCACTGCAGCCTCAACCTGCTGGGCTCAGGTGATCCTTACGCTTCAACCTTCCAAGCAGCTGGAACTACAGGCATATACCATCACACCTGGCTAATTTTTCTTGATTTATTGGCCTCTCAAATTGTTCAGCCTCCCAAAGTGCTGGGATTATAGGCATGAGCCACCGCGCCTAGCCGTGGATGATTTTTATTTCCTTCTCTTTGTGTGTTTTTTCCTGAACTTTTTGCAGTGACCATGTATTGTTATGATAATAAAGGACAGAAAATCTTAGAATTAAATCTTTAGGAAACAGGCCATAACTTCTTGGAGTTGATTTCCTTTTAGTATAAGGATATCCTCTCCTTTGGTCAGAAAGCAGGCATATTTTAGTGGAAAAAGATTATAACTTTTTTCTGCCTGTGTGAATAGTAATGTGCTTATTAAAGAGAATTTGGAAAATGCAAAAAGTATGAGGAAGGCAATGACTCATCAATGAGAGAACATTAGCACTTTCATAGCATCTTAGACCACATTATGTATTTATCTCTAGTTATTTAAGTCTAGATTTTTTTTTTCACTTAAAAAAAAAGATCTTGCCCACCTTGAAACTTTGACATGTGAAAGCACAGTGAATGTTGCGTTATATCAAGACAACATGCAGACTGCTTCCTGGCCAAAGTCTGTGCTTTACTTAGGGTCTGTCCTTTTAGAGTCACTGTGGTAATACTGAATTCTGAAGGGCCATCTCACTGTGGCACATAGTGTTTGATCTGAACTGGGCTTAATTCCTAAGACTTTTTCTTTTTTCTTCTTTTTTTTCTTTTTGAGTTGAAGTCTCACTCTGTTGCCCAGACTGGAGTGCAGTGGCCGCTCCTGGCCACCGCAGCCTCGACCTGCTGGGCTCCGGCGATCCTTCCGCCTCAGCCTTCCGAGTAGCCGGAATTACAGGCATGCGCTACCACGCCCGGATGATTTTTTGATTGTAGAGATGAGGTCTCGCTGCCCAGGCGGGTCTTGAACCCGCGGGCTCAGGCAATCCACTCACCTCAGCCTCCCAAAGGTGCGGGATTACAGGCTGAGCCATTGAGCCTGGCCCTAAGACTTTTTCTATTCCCGGTTTCTGTGAACTATTTGTCTGGTACCTTGCAGCTCTCAGTTTCCTAGAAAATAAGCTCCTTGACGGATGGCAGAGACTTGTTTTGCTCACAACCATCTCCCCAGTGCCTAGGATAGTGTCTAGGACACACAGTAGGTTCTCATTCAGTATTTAATGAATGTTCAACTTTGCCTATAAAAACACACTGTTTTGCTACAGCCTGTCCAGCTAATTGCTGTACTCTGAGTCAGTATAACAGATGACAAGTAAAATAGACTCTCTATGTACTTAGTAGAAAATAAAAGCTTTTATAAATAGAGAATAGCATATTTGATTCGGCTGACTCAAATGAGCAAGCAAGAAAATGGGCTCTTTCAGCAAATTATTATCCCTCATGCTAGACTGTCATTTAGTTCTTAATTAATATGAGCCAGGGATTATTATAAGCACAATTCCAGTCTTATTTACTTCTCAAATCAACCTTATAAGATTTAGGCATTATTATTAGTCCCACTATACAAAGGAGGAAACTGAAGCTTGGGGGATTAAGTAATCTCAGTAAACTTGTAAATTGCAAAGCTGGAATGCAGTTTTGCATCCAAGATTGGATGGATTTCAAAACCACACGTTTAACTACAATTCTTTGTTGTCTCCTATATTTTAAAATCAGCAGTGTTTACTTATTAATTTAACAGATATTCACTGAGTACCTGTGTTATGCCGGGCACTGTTGTAGGCACTAGGGGAACTGAAGGTGATCAAAATGGACCAAAGTCTCTGCCCCCAGGAACTTTCTGGTGAGGAGAGACAGACAGTAGATAAATGAACACAATATATAGGATGTCAAATGGTGATAAGCAGTACGGAAGAAAGTAAGCCAGTAGGAAAGCTAGGGAGTCCCAGGCTGAGGTTAAAGTTGAAGTTTTAAATCGAGTTAAGTAGAAGGAAGGCGTCCCCAACAGGGTGGCTTGAGCAAAGGCTTGAAGAAGGTGCAGGTGGTGCAGAAGAGCAAGATCTGGAGCACAACCTGAAGGCAGGTGGCAGGTGAGGACAGGGAGACTGTCTGGTGGAGGCAGCATGGTGGAGGCAGGTTTTGGGAATCGAAATTGGAGGATTCGGAGAGGAGCAGACGTGATCCAACTGGCATTTGAAAGTTGTCATTCCAGCGACTGTGCTGGGAAGAACGTGTGGGGAAAGGAGGGTGTTAGTTAATCCAGTAAGTGATGGCAGTGGATCAGTCCCAGTTAAAGGTGGTGGGGATCGTGAAAAGTCATTGGACTTCGAATATATTTTGAAAGTAGAACCAGCAGGATTTGCTGATTCATCAGATGTGAGGAAAAGAAGACTTAGCATGGCTTCAAGATTTTGGACTTCAGCAAGGGAAAGGATGGAATTGGCATTTATTGAATGGAGAAGGTGGGAAGAGCAACATTTTTCAGAACGATCAGGAATTTGGCTTTGAATATGTCAGTATATGATGTCCATTAAGTGTCCAGATGAAAATGTCTAATAAGCAAATCAGATAAACAAGTCTGGAGATCAGAGAGAAAGGTACCGTACATAAACCCGTGAGACTATGACGTGAGACAGACAGGTTTGAAGATTCAGTCCCAGGCTATGTTCAGAGGTCAAGGAGATAAGGAAGACACCAGCAAAGGAGGCTGGAAAGGAGTGAGCAGGGAGGGAAGAGAAGAGCCAGGAGCCTGTGTTCTGGAATCTGGCCAAGAGGCAGAAGGATCGCCAGAGCCCTACAGGTTGAGGTTGCGGTGGCCAGAAGTGTGCCACTGCCCTCCAGTCTGGGCGACGGAGTGAGACTCCAACCCAAAAAAAAAACAAAAACGTGTATCTGGAAGAAGTCTTCAACCACGGCAGATGCTGCTGAGGGGTCTGGGGGAGAACTGGGGGCTGACCATGGACTTGGTGATGAGGATGGCGGGGGTGACCTTGGGGAGCGGTTTCGAGCGGTAAAGCCTGATTAGAGTGGAAGTAGCAGAGCTGAAGTGGGGGAATTGGGACTTTTCCCATGAATTTTGTGATGAAGGCTATAAAGAGAAAGAGATTAGAGGCATTTGAGGCAAAACATACTTTTAAAACTTTTTCAAGATGAAAGAACTTGAAGCCTGTTTGTCTAATGATGCAAATAAATGATCCAGTAAAGGGGAACAAGCTGGTCTTGCAGGGACAGTTGCTAGAGTGGGGCCCCTGAGTAGGTGGAGCAGTGGGATCCAGTGGGAAAGCGCGGGGACCTATCTTGTATGGGCTAATGGCCCATATCTGGAGAAGACCAAGCGGGCAGACTTCTACGCAGCAGGTAAGGAGAGGTGGCCAGAGCCTGTGGAGGTTCTCTTCGAGTGATTCTGTTTTCTCTGTGAAATAGGAAGTCATATTAGTTTAGGATGAGGATGGGAGAGGAGGCGTGAGTTGAGGGGGAGAAAGTGTGACAGTCCTGTAGGAGATTGAACGAACTAGGGAAACGTGGTTGGATTTCCTGGCAGAATGAAGGGCCCCGTTTTAAGCATGAAGCCTTAGAGAGTAGCATTTAAAGTGGACTACAATTCTTTAACCAAAAAAATAATGGGGGCCTTCTTTTATATGGACAAAATTCTCTTAAAACTAGTGCCATCCTATGCCAATTTATTGAATTCTTAGACTCATGGGAACTCTTTCCAAGTCTTGTCCTTATTTAATAATTGCAGGAAATTTTCCCATTCTAGAAAAGTAAAGAGGGTGGACCTATGTGATGACTTGTTAGAGCCCTTTCATTGTCCCATTAATTAGCAGCTTTACTGACCTGGTCCAGATCTGTAAGACTTCAAACTGCCTCACCACGTGTGTGGTGTAGGCAAGGATTTCTCCATTCCTCTCTGTGGAATTCAGCCACGAGGATGCACCTCTGTCTTCCTTTACTACTTGTGCTGTAGGCAAAACCTGTTGTTTCTAAAAATGTAAGCAAGAGCACATAATGTTAGAGAGCACATTGTCGTGTCTAGTAACATGCTATGCTATCGAGTGGGTATGTGAAGTTTCCCTGTGTCATCACTGAGGGCTGACCTGGGACTGAGATGTGTCTACTGCTAGCGACCCAGCGGCCTGCACAGTTATGTTCAGGAATGAAGCAAACATGTTTTCCTATTGTAGTTTGTTTCAAAAAAGGAAAAATACCATAGGTTTGCATATACCTTGGCATGGCTATCAGCACTGCTAATTTTTCAGTCTATTTTTCATCAGCATGTGCTATAATTTATATGTGTCCAAAGAAGAAAAGACTGTAGTGCACTTTGGATATACAATTGCTTGAAAATTATTTGGGACTTTATTTTTTTTAATAAATTATCATCAGCAACATAGAGAGGAAACTTTATAATCAACTCCCACTTGGCAGCATCTTGGCCTGAGTCAGGTAGGAGTGTATAGCGCCCGGGTCTGAGGTGTCAGCAGGCTGGCCTCACTCTTCCCTGGGGCCAGAAAACATCTGGCCATCTTCATTCTGATTCTCAAGTTTACAGTTCTAATCAAGAGAATTACTACAGGATTATTCTTTGGCCCTAAGTGCATTATAATAAGCCAGAAAACACTCATCTGTCAAGTTTCTCTTACCACAGAGCCTTGGAAGTCATGATTCATTTAGAGCATTTTCCCAGTGAAGATAACTGAAGGTGTGTGTAGTATGATGAAGCTTGTTCCTCCCATCCTGTCTTTTTACAAAGAAAAGCAGCAGTGGCCTGTTAAACTCATAAGAGCAGCAGTGTCCAGCACTACTGTTTTATGGCCTACTCTTTCTTTGTACAAATTCTTCACAGATAGAAATAGTTAAAGCACCCCGTATAAATGCAAAAGAGGACCTTTAACAAATATCAATGATGGAATGGACAGTTGCAAGTACATAGTTGTTCAGAGACAGAGGCACCAAAGACTTCGTACATTTAGGTGCCCATCTCTGGGAAGAAATAGACTTTTTACATTGGTTGGTGTGGTGGGATTTTCATTTTATTCTGTTATTTAAATGTTCACATGCATGGATTTGTATTATATAGTTGCTTCTTAAGACTAGTCAAGTGTTGCAGTGGGAAGTGGGGAGTAGAACGAGGAGCTCCATCTGTAGCTGACCGTGAACAGGCAACCGAGATGACTCCCTGCCTTTGGACCAACCTAGATAGAGAGTTTTTATAACTATTCTTTAGGCGTTGCTGAACCGACGTTTCCTCTGCTTGGCTGTCAAATCCTTTTTACTTGTTTTGGAAGTTTTCCCGCTCTGTTGCATTGCACTGGGAAATATGAATTTGTTAAAACCTTTTTTTGTTGTTGTTCCTAGGATTTAGAAGAATTCTGCTTCAGGTTTTGCATAAACCATCTGACTGTAGTAACACAGACTTCAGGCTTTGCCGAAATGGACCATGATCTCCTGAAGAACTTTATCAGCAAAGCAAGCAGAGTTGGAGCCTTTAAAAATTGACCCCACCTGCAGGAAAGAAGTTTTTGAGGCTTTCCATTCCCCCAGCAAAAGCCAGGGGTGAAAAACTTCTCTTTAACTAATAGTACGTATGATGAGTTCCATTTGACTGAATAATTCTGTCTGTCAAAAGGAGGTGGTGAGTCATCTTCATCTGCCTAAATCCAAAGTTTTTATAGAAAGCACTGAATGCTCTGACCACATATAACTAAACTCAAGGAAAAAAAAATCTCATATTTGCCATTTCCGCATTTGAGTCGCTTAGGTTGGGCCCCTTTGGTACCCTCGTCTCAGAATATGCTATTCTGGCCCAAGTGATCCGTTACAAGCTAGCCGATGCCAGACTGATGGCTTGACAAGCAATGCTGTCCTTCCCATCTCTTCGCCATTCAACACAGTGCCTTGCATACAGTAGGCACTCAAGTTCTTATAAATCTTAAGGATGCCCTGAGAACAGCTTTATGTGAGGAATACTGGATGGAGGAATAACTTGCACAAAATACATTCAGACAGCCTGTAAATACTGAGGTTCATATTCTTCTGGTACATTGTTCTGAGGAACAGTGGCTAACTTAGAACATTAATTAGAATTCACAAGGCCTGAGTAATTAAATTGTCGAAGTCCTAAGGGCTAATTTTAATTTTTTATTTACTCTGAGTCATTAATTTCTCACGTGGGATTACTGAATATGAAGTATTATCTTTGAGTATAATTTCTGGGCTTATCTGCCTTACATAATTGCATAACATCCTTTGCTTTTCTTTATGTTAAGAGAGATTTGCCTCTGTAAGTAAAAATGATTGTGTTTTTCTTGTAGTTGACTTTCATGTCACTATAAAACAGGTGTCTTAACCTGGCACTGGTATAATTATTAAGTACTAGCTGAAAAGGAACTAATGCTTACATTTCATGGGCAGCATTAATAAGAATGAGATAAATTTATACTTAGATAAAAACAAGCTACCCAGTTGCAAAAGAGAAACTAGAATGGGATGTAGTATCAGATTCTTCTAATATGTATCTCACTATGTTACATTATGTAAAGAAAACTTTTGGAATTAGAGATCTTGTTCTGATGCTGAACTATTTGATAATAAAGTACTTATTTGCAGATAACAAATGTGTTTGGGGTTTTCTTTCCCTAAAAATAAGAAACATTATAAAGTTCAATCTCATGTCTCTTAGTTGTACATAAATCCATGTGGCATGTTATATTCTTGTTTTTTAAAGCAGTTACTCAGATGAGGTCTCATACTAAAGCCTACCTTAAAACATAAATGACTTACAAACAGCCTAATTATTATATGTATCATTGCCTTTGCTTTTTATTGGGGAGGCCACTTTTTAAAATACTTTATTTAAAGCAGTTTTAGGTGCACAACAAAGTTGAGTGGAAAGTACAGAGATTTTCATATGCATACCCCCTCTCCACCTCCCCACCCCGCCCCAGTCTCCACACAAGTACAACTTCCCCCTGGTCCCCCTTCCTCCTCTGTCAGCATCCGCCATCAGAGACGTTACGGTTACATTTGTGGCAGTTAGTGAACCAGCACTGACACATTATCACCACACTCCATAATTTACATTAGGGTTCACTCTTGCTGTTGCATATTCTCTGGGTTTGGACAAATGTCTGATGACAGGTGTCCATCATTGTTATTATACAGAGTCGTTTCCCTGCCCTAAAAATCCTCTGTGCTCGTCCCGTTCATTCCTCCCTCCTTGCTAGCCCCTGGCAACCACTCACTGATCTTTTTACCATCTCTGTAGTTTTGCCTTTTCCAGAACATCATATAGTCGGAATCATATGTATGCAACCTTCTGGGGTTGACTTCTTTAACTTAATGATAGGAATTTAAGTTTCCTCCCTGTTTTTTTGGTGACTTGATAGCTCAGGCATGTTTAGTGCTGAATAATATTCCATGTCTGGATATGCACCACAGTCGGTTTAATCCATTCACCAACTGAAGGACATCTTGGTTGCTTCCAACTTTCGGCAACTATAAATTAAGCTACTGTAAACATTTGTGTCTAGGTTTTTGTGTGGACATCAGTTTTCACCTCCTTTGGGTAAAATGCCAAGAAAGTGTGATTGCTGGATCATATGGTAAGAGTGTGTTTAGCTTTGTAAGAGACTGGCCAAAATGCACTTTTTAAGTGGCTGTGCTATTTTCTATTCCTACCATCAGTGAAACAGTCCTGGTTGCCCTACATCCTCACCAGCACTTGGTGTTCCAGATTTTGGCCATTCTCATAGGTGTGTAGTGGTATCTCATTGTTTTAATTTGTAGGTCCCTGATGACATAAGTGATGTGGAGCGAGCATCTTTTTATGTGCTCATTTGCGATCTGTTCATCTTCTTTGGTGAGGTGTCTGTTCAGATCTTTAACCTGATGTTTTTTTTTTAAATTGAATTGATTTTTATTGTTTTAAGAACTCTTTGTGTATGTTGGCCAACCGTTCTTTATCAGATGTGTCTTTTGCAAATATCTTCTCCTAGTCTGTAACTTACCTTTTCATTCTCTTGATGAGGTCACTTTTGGAATCCTTAGATTTGGATGTGGTTTGTCCCCACCAAAACTCTTGATGAAATCTGATCCCGGTGTGACAGTGTTGGGAGGTGGGGCCTAAAGAAAGATGTTAGGGTTCTGGAAGTTGATCCCTCATGAATAGATTAATGCCCTCCCTCCAGCAAGAGCCAGAAGAGTCAGCCAGCTGGATTAGTTTCTGAGAGCAGGTTGTTTATTTATTATTATTTTTTTTTTTTTAGTTGGAGTCTCACCCCGTCGCCCAGGTTGGCCAGCATCGACCTGCTGGGCTCAGGTCATCTTTCTGCTTCAGCCTTCCAAGTGGCTGGAACTACAGGCTCGCGCTATCATGCCCAGCTAATTTTTTGATTTACTGTAAAGGTGAGGTCTCACCAAGTTGCCCAGGCTGTTTTCGAACCCGTGGGCTTGGGCAATCCCCTCACCTTGGCCTCCCAAAGTGCTGAGATTACAGGCTTGAGCCGCTGCGCTGGGCCAGGGTCTTCTCAAGCTCCTCAGCGCCTTTTTATTAACTCATTTCATATAAAAATTGGGACACCCAAAGGGGGACAAATAAGTTTATTTAGAGATGAAAAATCACTCCGCACAATGAGTCAATAAGGCACACTGCCAGAGTACAAGTTATTACTCTGGATTTTAATCTACTTTTTCTAAGTTTTATTTTGTACAGGTTTGCACTATTATATATCTTGGTGCTTCTTATCTCTGGGTACAACAGAATAATCTATGGGACCTTTACAGAATACAGATTTGTGGATTCTTTTCTATTTTTTTAATTTCAGTAGCTTTAGAGGGTATAGATTTGGTTACATGATTGCATTGTATAGTGGCAGAGAAGTCTGGGTTTTAAATGTACCCACCACTCCCACCTATATTTGCGGATTCTCATTCAGTGTACTTTTAAAGCCCCACAAGTGATTCTGATGTTCAGCCAAGAATGCGAGTCTGTGGTTTGGCCCTTAAAACTTGTGATTCCAAACAATAAAGAAGAGCTAATTTTACACCAGTTTGGGTGATGACAGATGAGCCTGGGTGTGGGTACATCTATCTGGAAAAACATGCTTTTTCTGGTCTTTGAGGTTAGGGTTGCTATTGACACTCCTATGATAAGGAAAAAGATTTCCTTTTTTCATTTCCTTCTAACAGATGAATGTTTGGAGAGCCTCAGAAAACCCTACTGTTCAGGAGGATAGTGAGAGAAAAGGTGTGTTTTTCAGAATGACACTACATCAGAAGTTAGTGGAGCCTTTCTTTACACAAGTTTATCTTCGATTTTTCTATCCTTTAATTTTGTTCCTCTCTTTTTCCCATAAAGAAGTCAATGTTTTCATGCTTCTAATGTGATTTTTACTTGAACTTACACAGAGAAAGGATAAGGCTTCATAGGAATGAAGAAGGTTCCTCATCTGCTGATAGAAGTTTGTGAAGATGCCCTTGAATTCATTTTTAAAAACAAAGGTTAAAAGTGTTAGGTATGCTCTTCAGCTTAGAGCTACTGTGAATTGTCAGTCATTCTGGACCCAAATATGGAGAATTTTATTCAGAGGCGGAACTCTTAACCAGTAATAGTGAAAAGAAGCAACTACAAACTATATAATCTTACCTATTTTATTAGTCCTCCCCCTTCTGTCATAATAAGAAACAAATTGGGAGGATTGTGAAGAGAATGAAAAAAATCATACCATTCTGTTATTTTTAATTCTGTCTTTGTCAAAACATACAAATGCAAACCTTAGCAATTTCTCAGTAAACTCAGTTAAAAATCATAATGCTTTCTATTTAGGAAGCAAATGAGGTTGGTCTGTGCAATAAATTTAACTCTTCATATTAAATTGTCATTATTTACTATGATAATTGTTAATACTAATATATAAGTATAGTCTCAAAATAATGAACACAAAAAAGGATTTACTGAAAATGAATGAGTATTCTTGCTTCATATTAAAACAGCTTATTTTAATTCCACGTAGACATTAGATGGTGCCACCATAATATATTTCTATTTAAGAAACTGTACCTGTAGTAGGAATTTAATATTTCCAGATGCTCTGTGTTTGAGTTGTCCTGTAAAGTATCTATTTTACAAAGAAAAATTCCACTGAAACTTTATGTGTGACATATATCACGTGTAAAGTTTCAGTGGAGTTTATATATATTATATATAATAAAAATATATATACAATATACAATATATAGTGTATATATATTGCCCTAACATAAGGAACAAAAGTATGCTGTTAAAAGCATTTATGAAATCATCTAGATGATAGTAAAACTAGTGTATAGGGTCCCCACCCACCTGCCATTTGTAGAAAAAGCTGTAATGAAAAGTAAATGCATGAATTTAAACTTGTCTCTTGTATTATAATGAGCATTTAACCATTAGAATACTAAATTATTCTCCAGAAGTGATCAATCTCTGTCATCCTGACTAAAAATGTTCGAGGTCATTAAGGTAGTTTGGTTTTGACTTGACCTGTGTTTCCCTGAAGATCCCCAGCCAACAAAGATGGCTTCCTGAGGAGATGGCGGCTGCTTTTCCTGTTCTAGCCTTTTTATTTGCCTTTCTTCCTTCAAGAAAAAAAAAGTGCTGCTGTTTCAGAAGGAAAGAATTTCCTCTACCATGTTTTTTGAGAAATCACACAAACTCAAGAATAATCCCTCATCCGAAACTTTTAATGCCAGATGGATTTCATAATTTTTTGGGAATTTAGAATGATAATGTGGTACACACACCATATAATACATGAAACCTAAGCAGAGCTTGGGTTAGCTCCAAGCAAACATATTAATGAGATTATTCCTTTATCCAAGTGGGACCAAGTATAAATAGCACTATGCCAGTTTCGGTATAGTTTTGATGCCATATGACTTTTGGCACTAAACACACAGAACCACTTGGTTTTTAAAGCTTCTTAGATTTTAGAATTGCAGATAAAGGATGTAGACCTGTTAAATATATTTATATTTATATATTTAGAGGAAAAGGCCTTTAATATACAAGTCCCCATTTCGCTATGACAATAAGAAGTTATTGTTCTTCAAACTCACCAGATATATTCCTACCTTAGAGTGTTGGCTTTTCCTCTCTGTGGACTGTCTGAATCCTGTTCACGTGTGGCTCACTCATCTCCTTCAACTCTTTGCCCAAGTATCACCTCAGTGAGTCTGAACACTCTCTTCAATGTTAAAACTCCTTACCAGTGCTCCCTGAACTTCTCCTTGCTTTGTTTTTCCCCACAGTACTTATTACAGTCTCACATACTTCTTTCATTCGTTCGTTTTTTTTTTTTCTTTTTTGAGTCAGGTTCTTGCTGACTCAGGCTGGAGTGCAGTGGCACCATCACAGCTCACCATAGCCTTGAACTCCTGGACTCAAGCAAACCTCTCTCCTCATCCTCTCCCCATACTACCCTCCCAGCCCCCTCAGTAGCTGGGACTACAGGTGCATGCCACCACACCTGGCTAATTTTGAGCCACCATACCCGACTCGTTTACTCTCCTTGTCTGAAACTAGAATGTAAGTTCCACAAGGATGGAGATTTTAGTTTTCTCGATTAATTGTGGTATCT